ATCGTTGGCAGTGAAGCAGCGGAGGTAGATCTCCAGTTCTTGGTTTACTCGTTCTGTCTCGCCGTCGGTTTGCAGATGGAATGCCGTACTCATGGCTGATTGAACCCCAGTCATTTTGCAAAGTTCTTGAAAGACTTTGGACGCAAATTGCGGTCCTCGGTCGCTGATGATCTTGTCTGGGAGTCCAAACCACTTGTAGACCTCTCGGTACATTGCGTCTGCCGTCCCAAGAGCATCAATTGTTTTGTTACATGGGATGAAAATTACCCCCTTCGTAAGGTCGTGGTCCACTACGACCAGAATTGAATCGAAGCCGTTGGACGGTGGCAAGTCGGTGATGTAATCGCACGAGAATGTGCTGAAGGGCTTGGCATTTGCACGGGGTCGAATGGGGGTGATGGGCGGTCGGGCTGGATGTGTGTTAACCTTCATTTGCTGGCAGATGCCACAGCCGTTAACATAGCGAGCGACAAACTGGGCCATGCTCGGCCACCAGTAGTCACGGTGCAAGCCGAGGAGGGTTTTCTGAACACCGGGGTGTCCTGCGGAGGGGAGGTCGTGATAGTGGGAGACAAGACGTTTGCGAAGAGACTCATCTGGGGGTACATAGACCCGATCCTGGTATAGGAGGAGGTCATCGTCGATGGACCAGTCTGTTCCAGTGCGTGGTGTTCCTCCAGTGCGCGCCGCAGTGAGGCCTTCCTTCATTATTGGGTCGTCCTTAAAGGAAAGGATGGTGTCGCGGGTGTCGATGTCGATGGCAGCGACCCATACTTCCGGTGGGAGCATAACGACGTCGGTGTTGTCATTAGAGCCGTCGTCATGGTCGGGTCGGCGGGAGAGAGCGTCGCTCTGGACCATTTGGGTACCAGGAACGTGTACCAGGCGGAAGTCAAACTCGGTCAGTTTACTCGCCCAGCGTGCTTGTCGCCGGTTCATGTCTTTGGCTTGTTTCCAATATGTGAGGTTCTTGTGGTCGCTGAGGATCGTTACTGGGTATGGGCTGCCGATGAGGTAGTGCTTCCACTCATCTAGTGCGCGGATGACCGCATATAACTCCCTGTCGTAGATGTCGTAGTTTCTCTCTGCTGCATTGAAGCTTTGAGAGAGGTATCCGCAAGGATGCCAGTCGCCGTTGTCGTCGCGCTGGCGTAGTACTGCTCCGGTTGCAAACTTGGAAGCGTCGGTTTCGATAGCGAAGGGTCGATCGGGATCCGGCATGCGTAGTACCGGTTCTTCTAGGAATGCCTTCTTGAGAGTTTCGAAGGCTTTCTGTTGGTCAGATCCCCAGGTCCAGGCGACGTCCTTCCGGGTGAGAGCGACCAGCGGTTGCGCTTTGTCCGAGAAGCCTTTGATGAACCGGCGGTAAAAGTTTCCAAATCCAATGAAGGCGCGTACTTGCCTGAGGTTGGACGGCACCGGCCAATCCGCAATGCCAGCTAGTTTGACAGGGTCCATTGCGATTTCTCCTGGACGGATGATCATGCCGAGGAATTCGACTTCGGTGACGTCGAAGGCGCATTTCTCCGGTTTGAGGTAGAGGTCGTGTTGTCGAAGTCGTTCGATAACACGTCGTGTTCGTTCTTCGTGTTCTGCCTTGTCCTGGGAAAAGATCAGGATGTCGTCCATGTAAATGCAGAGCCAGCCTTCTTGAAGCATGTCTGCGAATATTGTGTTCATCATCCGCTGGAACGTAGCGGGAGAATTACACAGCCCAAAGAACATCACCGTTGGTTCGTATAGCTGTGGCGGTTTGCCATCAGTTCCGGGTACGATGAACGCTGCCTTCCATTCATCCCCTTTCTTGATTCGAACATTGTTGTATCCGGCGCGGAGGTCCATCTTCGTGAACATCTTGGCGTGCTTCAACTTGTCCAGGAGGTCGGATATAAGCGGGAGCGGGTATCGATCCTTGACCGTGTTCTCGTTGAGCAGCCAGTAGTCTTGACAGGGACGTAGTGAACCGTCCTTTTTACCAACAAAGAAGAATGGACTCGCCAACGGGGATTTCGACGGGCGAATGTACCCTTTGCTCAGGTTCTCCTCGAGGAACTTGTCGAGTTCCTTTCGTTGCTGTGGGTTGAGCGGATAGACCTGTTGCTTCATATCCGCGAAGCCCTCCTTGAGGTTGATTTCGTGGTCATATTCGGTGTGGTCTGGAAGTCGCGCAGCAGTGCCTTTGTCGAAGACGGGGAGGAGATCATGTAGGTAGGACGGTACCATCTGTGGTAGCGTTTTTTCTGTCTTGCCT